TCAACAAATCAACAGGACTGCGGGGCAGAATACTATACAAAATTGAAACTGACTGAAACCGGTGCTCCTATTTCGAGCATGATTATAATTATAAGCAAACTTTGCCCGACTAAGCAGCTGATCCCATGAGCGAAGATTATCCCCAACTAAGCACCGCAACAAATCACCCAAAGATCGATTCACTATCTCGTTTGCCCATCTATTTGAGGGTGGTAAGCACTAACTGACTTCCATAAGCTTCGCCAAAAGTGATCGATGAACCTTGTGTCTCTATCAGACACAATAAAATTAGGCAAACCATGAAGACGATAAATCTCTCTGAAAAAGAGCTGGAAAACCTTGATAGTGTCAGTGGTATGCTTACAAGGTATAAAGTGTACCATTTTCGAAAACCGATCCATGACTACAAAAATGGAGCATTACCACGCTGTGTGCTCGGTAAACCTAGGACAAAATCCATGCTAGTATCAGTCCATGGAGTTGAAAGCACTAGTAAGGATCGATAAAGACCAGCGTTCGTGGCTTTCCCCTTTGCCACATGATACACCCTGCACCGTGAGACAAACTTCTCCAGTTCACGGCGTGTAGTAAGCCAGAAAAATGAAGCACTAATTAGAGTTAAAGTGCGATCCCGCCCCACATGACCCTCACCATGAATCTCTTCAATCAATTTCAGACGAAGGCTGAAATCTGGAATACACAACCGAACACCCTGAAACACATAATCGTCCTCTAACAGAAAGGGAGGATGAGTTCCCTACAGTAAACTGTGAAAAATGAGGCTAAAATAAAAATCATCAGCATAATGGGAGGCAAATGTTTCAAACCCCGTGACTGCCACCTATAGACGTGCTAATAACCCATGCCACCGACTGAGCGCGTNGCCACACGATTAGAAGAACCAACCTGGTGTTTGATGACAAAGTTGAACTGCTGCAAGAAGGCAATCCATGATGCATGACGGGCAGACACCGAATCCTGACTGGACAAACGCTTGAGGGCCTCATGATCACTGTATAAGATAAACTCCCGCGAAAACAAATAATGCCGCCAATGGCATATGGCCTGAACAACGACATAAAGTTTTGCATCATAAGTACTAGAGCCCCTGCCAACTTCTGACTGAAAAAGCTACTGGTTTCCCCTCCTAGCTGAGAACAGCTCTGATGCCCAATTTAGAGGCATCACAATGTACTGCGAAAGGCTTTGTTAAATCAGGCAATGCAAGTATCGGGGTTGAAGTCAAGCTCTCCTTAATAACCACGAATGTCTTCTCAGGCTCGGGGCGTCCACTGAAACTTACTATGCTTCATGAAATCAGTAATGGGAGACATGACGGAGGTAAAGTGCTGAATAAATCATCGATAAAACGACGCCAAACCATGGAAACTTTGCACATCAGAAACGAATTGTGGTCGTAGCCACTATCGGATCGTATCAATCTTAGTTGAATCCACCGTCACCCCACTGCTTGACACCACATACCCCAAAAATATAACACTATCGATATAAAATACACACTTATGACAGGTTGCAACTAACTCTTCCCTGTGCAAAATGGCAAGGAGTTCCCTTAAATGTACACCATGAGATTCCTCTGACCCACTGTACACCAATATATTATTGAAGTATACAACCACACACTTACCAATAAAACGGTCGAAGGGCTTGGTTCGTCACCTGTAAGAACGTGCTCGGTGCATTGGATAATCCGAAAGGCATAACCAACCACTCAAACGATTTCCCTCCCATGTCTTAAACGCTTCTTCCACTCATCACCAGGATGGATTTTGATATGATGGTAATCACTTTTCAAGTCCAGTTTGGTAAATACTGTTGCTTCTGCTAACTAGTCAAGTAAATCATCTAATCTCGGTATCGGGAAGCGATGACAAACTGTTATTTTGTTGATGGCTCTGCTATCTATACACATCCGATAACTTCCATCCTTCTTTAGCACTAGAAGCGTGGGGACTGCACACGGGCTGAGACTTTCCTTGATATAGCACTTCTGCACCAACTCCTCTACCTGTCTCTTCAACTCCTCATGTTCCGCTGAGCTCATTCGATAATGAGGACGATTAGGCAGTGATGCATCAGGTATCAAATCAATCTGGTGTTGTATATCCCACAAAGGAGGAAGACCTTGTGGAAGGTCCTCTGGGAACACATCATGAAATTCAGACACCAGGCCGCAGCTTTGGGGTGAAGACTCGCCCCCTCGACTGCCATAGGAACTGCTAGCACTCCCATCACCTCGGTTCCCACTAACAACAATACGATACCTTTCGCCAACATCTTACGCACAAACAAGGATCGGGAAAGTAGGTGCTACTGTCCCCTGCTGAAGAGTTACAATGAGCATCATTGGAGGGTAGTAGTACAATATTCTTAACCGAAAAGGTGAACGTATACGCATTTGATGCCCTTCATGACACACATCCCTATCAAACTGTCATGGACGACCTAACAACAGATGACACGCATCCATAGGTACCACATCACACCATACACAATCATGATACACACTGCCAATAGAGAATGGTACCAATACACATTTAGTGACATGAATTTCGTTACCTCGTCTCAACCATGCTAGGCTATATAAGGAGTAGGGTGGGGTTAAGAGCCTAACTTCAGCTTCTGTACGGCCGCCTCTGATACCACGTTTTCACAATTGACCGAATCAATGATGAACCTGCACACTTTGTCCCCAATGGTGCACGTGGACAGATAGATGTTGTTTCGCTGCAAGTCCTCAAACGACTCCTTAGGCGTAAGGCACGTCGGTCGCACCACCAAAAGTGGTCCCGTGTCCCCCGTAGCACTACTTCGGCCTCTTCTTCCTCATTTGGCAATGAATGGGATCTTCGACGTAGGCTTGTGTTGCTTTTCCGATCAACAAGCCTAGGCGTGACTGTCGATCTGATGGACAGTCCCTCCTCAAATGTCCAAAACCACCACAACCAAAACACTGACTACCACGCCCTTGTCCACCAGAAGGAGCCCAGACACCCGGACTTGGGGTTGGAGGAGCCGCTGGCCGAATGTTCCAATCAATGCCCGACCCCCAGATGTGGAAGATTGGGACGGACCATATGTGGGATTTGGGGCGAACGGTCGACCCCCCAGCTCCAGATGGACCACTAGAACTGCTTACACCAGAACGATGTATGTGCTGGGCTTCAGCCTGAAGTGCACGTTGATGAGCCNACTAGAACTGCTTACAACAGAACGATGTATTTGCTGGGCTTCAGCCTGAAGTGCACGTTGA